CAGAGCTGCCTTTCCCCGTGTGTTTACTGCAGTTGCCTAGGGGAAATCCTAACACCAATTATCAAAAGCAACACTATTACATTAATAGTCTGTATTAATGACTTTTTTTAACCCTATTTGGCTCAAAGCAAAGCCAACTGTGCACAGGCTTGAAATACATTTGTGCTCTCCTTTTTCCCCCCAATACCTGTTTTTAAGATTATAGCTGTGCCAAAACGAGCAATAGTCACCCACTATTTAAAGTACTTTATTTTACAAGTTATTTATCTGACAGTTGTACTTCAATAATCAGTTATTAATCAGAAGATACCAACGGGAAAATGTGGTCAAAATAAGCTCCAGTTTGCAGGAAAGGGCCAAGCTGTTCGTTCAGAAGGTTCCTCAGTGCTAGAATTTAGACAGCACTGAGCTGAAGGCAGCACTCTGCTAATGAGCTTATGTTTTATGGAGCAAGCAGTGTCGTGCTGCTTGGAAACTGTATTTTGTCAAACTCATCAATTAAAGGCCTCACAGCTACTGCAGAGGGAAGGCTTTGCTGTCTGCTATGGGCAATTCTAGTTCCTACTTCTGTCCCATTCCCAACTGCTAAAGGCTAAACCAGCAAAAGTTAAGCTCTCCTTTGCAGACAGCCCATAGGAGTAACAAGCACTCCCATTGGTCTTAGATTAGATACTAAATCTAGAAACAGTTGCTAACCTAGCAAGTCTAGACTAACCTTCACATCGAATCTCTTCCAATTCAGGGCCAATAAGTAGGAGAAAAGGAACAAGTCCATCAGTTTTGAATCTTTTTGCCTTCTGCAACTTGAATTTTCACATCCTCAAGATTCATTCAAACAGAATATGTTTACTGACTAAGGTAATCAAGCAGTTGGGTGGATTTGGGGAAAACACTAATTTACATTACAGTGCTTACTTTGGGGACAAACAGAGCTGCATACCTGTGTGATACGTACACACGAGTATTTCCTGTCCTGCCACAATCAAGGCCCTGCACAGAAGCTTGCCTATCACCCTCACTATGCATTTAAACTGTCCATCTATTATAGAGAAACAGAAAAATTCTGTATTTTGTTCAAATTTTGACGGATAAACCAAGGTCATTATTCGCCAGCAGCTGGCATACATCTCAATATTGTGCAAACATTAATCCATCTCATTCTCTAATTCGGCCAGTGACCTTAATACCAGTTCAGTTCTTAATCATCTGGCAGTGCAGCTGGCATTCATTTTGCCTGACAGAGGACCTACCCAATAAATAAAAAAATAAACCCTCTTATCCCACTCTTGACAATGCTTAAGATGATTACAATCCCTTTAGCTGCTAGATTTTCTTTTCATAATAATGTCTGGACTCTATTTGCTCACAGTAAGCAGAACAGCTAAATAAATCCTCGAGGAGTCCATTAAAACAGAGGACCATCCCAACAGCCTCGATAATTAACGTGCTTGTATCAGCACATCACCAAAACCATCAAGTGCAATGGAGGGAGCACCATATTCCAGCTAAGTGCCCCAAAGCCTGCACACCCAGAAGACCACACAAAGTCTACTGGGTGAAACCACCACCGGGGCAGGAGAGCAGCAACCACACAGGGTTAGCCAAGAGGAGATGAAAGAGCTTCATTAAAAAGGGGCAAATTCCAGGCAGCTTTCTCAAGGAAAGCTGTACACAAAAACACTGAGCTCTTCCAATCTATTTTTCTCCAGTTTACTTCCATCTAATTTCCATGACCAGAAATTACCAAGAATGGGAGGTTAAAGCTACCTCCCCCTCAAGTTGGTGCTGGTGGATGGGGAATAGAAGGGTCATTTCACATTCCTTAATCCTCACTGCTTCTTGCTGCTCTGCCACTTTGAGCCTGGACTCTGCTTAGCACATCTAGAGGGAGGTGGAAACGAAGCTATCCCCAAGCAAAAGAAATGGATTAAAACTACTGGCAAAACAACAGCTACTTTAAGCCCCCATTGGCCCAGAATGATCTTCCTCTTTCTGGAGAGCAGTAATTTTAGATAATGGAAAAGAACAAGGAAATAGGACTTCAAGGGGAAAAGTTAAGATAAAGAACGTTTCCCTTGATGAGTTCTCTTAAATAGTTTCAAGACAGAAATAGCCTTCCTTGCTTCCTCAACTTGAGGAGGTTCACTTAAGTTAGGAGGAAAGTAGAACAGAATTTTCTTTATTTCAAATAAATAAGCTGAATACCATGACACATGGTTACTAAAATGGCAAAAAAAGCCTGATAGATAATTGCTTGATATGTAAATAAAAAAATACTCCATTTTCTGAAAGATTAATACTGGTATAGAACTACTTGACTACATGATTATTTCCAAGCAGATGAAAACAGAGGTCCAGCTGAGCGAGCCCTACATCTCTATTATCACTTCTTCCATGCAACTTCTAACACAAGGTTTCTAAAGACAGATATAGACTAAAAGCTTACTAATTCTGTGCCGTGCTCCAAAGATCTTTTACTGTGCTCCTGCAGCAAAAACACCACCACCTCCATGGTCCAAAAGTCCTTCCATTAACAAGCTGCCCTGTTTGCAAAGATGGAGCCTGAACGATGCCCGCAAGATGAGTTTCTCCTATATCCCTCCCAGTTTGCCTGGCAGATCACTGTTTTCTCCCCATTTGTTCTTTCAGCTTTTAGAACTTTACTTTCAGGGGAAAAAAATATGTTTTCCATTTACAGAGTTCAAAGACAAATTCATCATCAGTGCAAAGGAAAATTCCTCCAAAACATCAGATTTTTATCCACTTCACAGTCTAGGTAAAGGTCCACAACCTAAAATAGTTATTTAGTTTGTTAGGTAGTTAGGTATTCTTTATTCTTTTGCTTTAAAACTTCTGCTTGTGCTACTGTGTTTTACCTGGCTATGGTAATGGTGAACAGATTTTCAAAATTCATCATTCAAGCAAATTATTTAACATAGACTGAGCAATTATTTCAAGTTGATAATGGCTGCCAATACAAGTTCTCCCACTTGGCTTTCTATAAAGACCTTGGTACAAAGCATATAGAATACTCATGTCACATAGGGGTAAATTTTCCCAATAAACTTTTTTAAACAACAACATAGGGAGAAAAAACATCAAAAAATCAAGATCTCTTCTCCACGTCTCCATCACTCATTGTTACTCTATATCGCAGCCCCAGGACTGCAAAGAGCAGCACCAGTTTCACAGCTACTAGAAAGGGAGCAATAGCCTTCAGGGAAGTTTGGAAGGAAAAGCAACTCATTTTAATCTTAACATACTAGATCACTGTGGGTAATGCCTTATACATCCTCTTCCTTCCCAAGAAAGGACAAGTTGAGAACAAACTAACTTAAAACTTGGGCTTTCCAGAAAGATATGGAGAATTAGCACAGAATAGTGCCTAAAGGCTCTGCACACAGTTCTCACCTTGGACAAAATACCTTTTCCTGACAGCAAAAACCTCAACCACGCTTATCCAGGAGAAAAAGAGGGAGACAGTAGCACAGGATGCTGACATTAGGCCTGGTAAGCTGTAAGCTAACGCCTGCAGCCCAGGCACATCTTCATGCCCAGTACACACGGTTTACACACAGGTTTAGCACTAGCACATAGAGGAACCTCACTGGTACATCTTAGCATTGCACATCCTGGTTACTAACTAACTGCAGTCTTCAGCCTACCCCAGGGTGAAAAGAGTGCTCTCCACGCCGCCCTCGTAAAGCGGAGCGAGAGCAGAGGCACGCTGGCAAAGGGCGCCCATAAACAGCAGCATGAGGCAACTGCGCTGTGGTTACCTCAAACCTTAACCAAGGTCAGACCACAGCTTCCAGCAAGATGACTGCAAACCCACAGAAACGCCTCTATGGCTAGGAAGCATCGCTCCCCGTGGTTACTAGGTTCAAATTTGTTCTCGTTTTGCAACTTACGCCTCAGACACTGCGTGGTCTCCAGTGCTGGCAGCACCTCTGGATTGCTGCCTCTGACAGAGGCTGGTAGCACCGAGAACTGTCTCCCGCTGGACTCCCCTCCAATAAAAGCTACCCTAATTCCTGCACACGCCTATATTGTTTTTGTCTTTCAAGATGATTTTTTTCTTAGAGAAACAGCAGCTTACAGATCTTCTGATAACCACTTGCTGCTCCAAGGCCAATACAAGCACCAGCTAGACGTTTCATCTCAGATATCTAATAAACACTAAAAAGGCATTGCTAGAAAGAAAGCACCCCATAGAGTGAAGTTCCATAACCAGCATTTCCAGTCTAACACATCTTAGCCAAGCATCCCATGATCCTTACAGATCCTTAGTTTCTCCAAGCCAAAAGATTCACGAATCCCAGAACACCCTACCCCATTTCCCTCCAGCATTAACAACACTTGGCTCATTCAAGATCTGGTTTATACATAACCATGTAAAACTATTCTGAGCATCCTTGAGTCTGGGCTGTTCTGTTCTCAAAGAATAGCTCAAGTACTTCTGGAATCAAGACGACCGAAGATGTTTATGAGCTTTAGCGCCTTTATAGCTATATTCACCCAGTGCAACCCTAGCAGAGGGACTTCTGGCCACTGCAGTCCCTCTCAAAAAAGCCTTTCTAAAAGGAGAAAAACAAAGTGTTTGGCCACCCATTGACCTATATATATATATTTTATATACACACACACAGAGCAGTGCAGCAGCAGGCACCACTACACAGCTGAGCAAGCTACACTCAGGCATGCTGGTGGCTACAACGCAGCTCCTGGGTGCTTTTCATCCACAAAGCGTGTAGCTCGAGCAGCCTCCACTGTAACCACCAGGCTAGGCACCCGAGAAGAAAGCACACCCAGTACCTCTATACACACAATAGCCCCTGCTACATAAAACAAGTCGGGCAGATGATGCATGTAGTGCAGCGTCACCCTCTCCTCAATCAGGAAGGTGCATTAGCACCCCGGTCCCTTAGTCCTCATTCAAAGCCTCACAGCTTGCTCCCCAGTCCATCGAGCCTCCCAGATCACAAGAAACAAAAAGGCACCTTTGTGAGGGGACCCATTGATGCTCTCGGAGCTGGACTGCACATCCACCGTGGCTCTCCTGAGGCTGCTAAAATAAGCCCTGGACCTGGAGAAGCTGCCCCGCGGCGAGCGGCCGTGGGGGCTGCCGAAGGGGGTGGAGGTGCCGTCCTTGCGGGCGAAGATGCCGCTGAAGAAGCGCAGCAGCCGGTGCTCGTGGGCGGCGCCGCCGGCGGGGCCCTCGCGCCCCAGGCGCTCCGAGAGCCGCTGCAGGTCACTGTTATCCAGGGTCCGGTTCTTGCTCTTGCTCCGCTCCCAGCGCTCCAGCTCCGCGAGCGGATCCGCCTTGCTCAGCACCTCGCCCACGTCGAGCGTGTTGCGCTTCTCGGGGCCCGCGGCGACGGCTGGCTCGGGGGGCACACTGGGAACAGCGGGCACGCCGGGCGCCTGGCTGGATGCAGGGTCGGCCGGCGCGGGCAGGCAGCCCGAGCTGCTGTGCCGCCGCACCCGCGTCAGCGCCCTGATGCGCAGCAGCTCCCCACCACTCCAGTGGCGGAAGCTGAAGCTCCGGCGCAGCAGGCCCGGCTGCCGCCCGGGGCTTTGCCCCTGCTCCCCTGCGGGCGAGCGGCCGGCGCCGGGCGCAGCATCGTCCCTGGAGGAAGCCGCCGTGGGCTCTGCTGCCCCTCGTGCTTCAGCCCGGCCACAGGTGGCTGCCGTGGGCAGAGGCTCCGTGACACCTGGGCAGGATGGGCTCCGGCGAGGGGCCGGCACAGCAGCAGGAGCCGCTTCCTCGGACGACGGGCTACTTGCGGTCCCCTCAGCAGCGCCCGGCTCGCGCGGGCGCCTGCCGGCCGGCTCGGCTGGGAAGGGCTGCGCCGCTCTCCGCGGCACCTTGAGGCGGCCCAGCTCCAGCTGCCCCGTGCTGAGGGTCCTGAAGTTGCGGAAGCCGCAGGGGCTGGGCACTCTGTCCTGCTCCTCGCTCTCCTCCTCGCCCTCCTCTTCCTCCAGCAGCAGCAGCCCAGCCCTGGTGAGGCTGGAGGAGCCGAGCGCTCGGCGGCGCCTGTGCTGGGGCGGCTCCGGGCCAGCACGGCTCCCCTCCGGCCCCAGCAGCTCCTTCTTCACCATGGTCACGGAGATGCGGTAGACGGTTTTCCTCTGGGGGGTGCCCCGCTGCATCCTCTCCGGAGAGGCGGCAGCGGGCGGCTCGCTGCTGTCCAGGAGGTACATGGCTGCCTCCCCTCACCTCCCTTCACACGGCTGCCTCCAGCCCACGCATGGTACCTCACCGGCCACTGGCGATGCACGCAGGGCAGACGGGTGCTCCTGGGGCTGCAGAGCGAAACGCCAGAGCACAAGCCACTGCAACACCGAGGGAAAAAAATCCTGTGTCACACCCCTCTGGGGCCCCCCTCGCAAAGCGGAGCCACTGCGTCGCACGAGAGGTTTCGTGGCCCCAGCTCAGCAGCAGGAGCTCCGCTCCATCATCTCTCTGCACAGATGTGCAGCATCCATGCAGGTAATAACCGGTCCTCTCGGCCCCTTGCAAAAACACGTCCGGGGGGCGATTCAGATCCGTTCGGTGGCAGCACGCATCTCGCCGCAGATCCCGAAATGCATTGCTCGGGAGCAGCCAGGTCCAGCGCTCACGGGATCAGAGCGGCGGCAGCGCTCGGTGCATTGTTTAGCGCAGGCTGCGCACCCGCGCGTTCCGCGGCGCGGCTGCGCGCGGCGCTCGTCGCGAGCGGCGGGCGGGAGGGCGGCTCGGCGGCGGCGGGCGGCTCGGAGGCGGCGGGCGCTGCGCGGGCGGCGGCCGCAGGGGCTCGCGCGCGCGGCCGGCCAGCGCCGCGGCCCCGCCATCAGGAAGCGGCGCCGCTCCCGGGGCGGCCGCGCGCCGCCGGAGCGCCGCAAGAGCCGGCCCGGATCGCGCCGCCGCGGAACGGCGCGGCGACCGCCCGCACCCACACGTGCGGGACAGCGCAGGAACCTTCTGCACCTGCCCTGTTTTCCCTCTTCCAAGCCTGTTTTCCAGAAATAGGCAACATGTGCACGTGGAACATCTCTCATCTCCAAATCCAAAACAAGGGAAAGACAACAGAAAGCCCTGAATTCCGACTAGGAGAGCTGGACCTTAGCAGCCAGCCACCCCTCAACAAGGTCTAGTGTACAGGATGGATCAGGGTAACATTGTCCTTTTGGTACTGAAGAGTCAAATCACTCCAAATTCATCTTTCCTTCATCTGTGGCAACTGCTGTTACATGGAATAAACATGTTCAGACATGTAAGGCACGACCCCTTGCATGAGCCCATGTTGCTGTGTGGTTAACCATGCACGACTGTGACCTACCGCATCCTTCACAGTCACTGCTTTCAGCAGGCCCTGGCTCTTCTAAAAAGCTGGACTAGAGAAAGGACCACTTCACGTTCACTTTGCCAGGCCTCAAACAGTCCAGAGCAGAGTTAATGAGAGTTAACAAGGCCACTAACTACTGGCTACACTAACGACACCCCACACGAGCACCCCAGTTCCAGTGCAAAACACACCCCTGGTGAGCCGGACTTGCCCTCAGGACTACTGCCAGGTTTAGAGATCATATTCCCACACGATCCGCAGCAGTTCCCCGACTACACAAGGTCCTACACCACCTACGACAGACGGGTCCATCACCAGCTGAAACACTAAGAACTAGTGCTCTAACCCACCCTCTCAAGGTACAAGACATTGTTTCTAGTTAATTCTGCATAATTGGCATTTGTCTTTGCTCTGAGCTTCATATGACAGAAGCCATTTGTGCATATACCTCAAATAAACATGTAACCAAAACCAGCTGCAACAGCAGCCCTAGAAAAGAGGCCACAGTCTGCTCAGAACTCAAGCTTGACCATCTTAGAAAACAGGAATATTGTTGTCAAGTGCACCCAGTTTCTAAGTCCACTAAATATCTACATTTAGTGTAGACTTCTCCCCTTTTCAGACATCCCCAGGGCCATCTTTAATATATAGTTCTAAATAGAGTGAGGGACACAAAAAATGAATTTGTAAGTCAAAAATACAAGAACTGCATATTAGAAAAATATATGCTCCAAGAGATGTATGAGTATTGAGTTCACCAATAAATTCTTAAAATGCCGCATTTCAGATATTGCGATGCAGTGTAGTGAGAGGGCATTTGCCGCTCCCAAGAAGCCATTCCCGCCAGCGCCAGGCGGATCCACGCCGTGTTTGCCAGCGCCCACCCCGGGAAGGCAGCTTCTGCCTCGGAGTGGAACAATCCATTTTTCCCGAGCCCGGGAAGTGGGAGGCTCCGTGGCAGCGCTTCCCAGCGCACACGGACACGCACATTCCTGCGCTCCCTGCTCCCGTGCGTGGTACGGCCTAGCACTGCACAGGACACGTGAATGGCTCCTGCCTGCATAAACATTTACTTGCACGGCTCCGTTTGCCAGCAGGTTGGGTTTTTTTTTTCCTTGCGTTTTAGCACCTCCCCTGCTTCTCGGAGAGGCCGTGCTTTGGTTGGCAAACTATCCTCTCATTGATTGTGGCAATATTTGTATTAGTCATCGGCTCAGGGTACTCTAGCAGCTCCTCCACGCAGAGGAAATCATATTCCAAGCGATTGCTCGGCTACACGAGCTAGCTGCTCGCCATGAATTATTCACTGGGCAGCAACCAAAGGCTTCTTTTAGCCCAACCAACTTCAGTGGCATTCAGGAGACTGTCATCTGCATATCCTGCTGCTGCTGCATACAACAGAGGCATTACTACCCTCTTGGAGAGGGATGTCATTCCCACAACACCTCCCAGCAGCACAACGGGGGTTTCACATGCAAGGCTTCTGCAAGCTCTTGGGCTACCATGGAGGCCCAGGGCTGGCACGTGTTGTGCCATAAGCCCAAAGGGCTACGACAAACGCGCACTGAAGGTATTCTACCCCAGCCCACGCGCAGCATTCGTGCCACAGCACGGCCGCGGCTACAGGACCCGCAGCAGGGCGAGCTGAGGCCCAAGCCGCGCTGCCTCGTGCCCCACGACTGCTGCCGCCACGTGATGAGCCCCGAGCGGGTCCCGGAGCAGGGCAAGTCCCTCGGGCGCCGTGACCCACGTGCCAGGAGCGGCCGGGCCAACCCAAACAGCCGGCCCGGCTGCAGCCTCCTCCTGTGTCCGCAGGGCCCGCAGCAGCCGGCCCCGCTCGCCCTTCTGTTCCTGCAGGCAACGAGCAGCCACATCACCCCTGCCCAGGTACCCGCAGCCAGTAAGGCAGCGCCTGTGAGTCCCCAGTCCGCTTACCCAGGGGTGGTCGTATTCGTCCCTTTCCCTCCCACTGCCAGGGTCAAGGATATTGGCAAATACTTGACAAGAGCCTGCTAGCTATTTAAATATGGAAGATATAGTCTTTTGATGTTCCACACAGGAAGCTGGCTGATTTTGCAACAGTGGTAACAACCATAGAAAAAACAAAGCTGATGACTCCAATGCAATACATAGAGCATGCTCCACACAACAGAAATGTGCTACTGCAATTTAGAGTCTCACAATTTACAGCAATATAAACCAATAACTTGTTTTAATCCATACTTTGTATTTAAGACTTATATCCCAAATGATTTTTAAATTTGCTTCAAACAAACTCTGTACAAATTTGTCTTACAAGACTGCCATTCTTTCAAACTGGAATGCAGCAGGAGCAGCCGTATCTGTAGTAGGACACTGGTCACCAGCAAAAAGAAAAAAACCCACAAAAGAAAGCGCCTAAATCCCAGGTAAACACTAAGTTCATGAGTAGAAGCTTATGAATGGAGCACTTATGGCCAGTGTAAACACTTCACCCATTCTGAAGGATATTCTTAATTCCAGTTTCACATGACGGCCAACTGGAGTCACTAGCGAGAGCGGTGACTGCTGAACAGGAAGGGCAGCCACAGGGCACCAAGCTGGCTGCAGAAGGGTCATTCCTGTCTGACTGCTGCCAGGCAAGTTGATTGCGAGCAACTCATGTTACCCATGTCAGGTTTACAAAACCAAGAAAAACACAAGTAAATCATTAAACATGACATGAAACAGGTTTTGCAGCGACTTTTCCCAAGCAATTAAAAAAAAAAGATTTCTAAGCCCACTAAGGTTCTCCACCATCACTAATTAAACACAAAAGCTGGAAGGAAAAATGACATTTGTATAAGCATTATATATACACACACACACACATATATGTGTAGCACCTGATTAAAATTTCAGTTCTGTAACACATGTAACAGGTTAGTATGTTCTGCTTCTACCTCAATGGGTGCACAACTCCTGCAATGCAACATATGCCTATGCTGTGCATTTGATTGGACATTTTCCACTGATCTAAATTTCCACTGCCTTTTTTTTTTTAAATAAACCTAGACCTAATTTTAGGTGTTTGGAAACTGCAGGTTAAAAGTCTAGATGTACAGTATAATTTCAATCTGTTGTTTCTTTCAAAAGCTGTTGTTTCTTTTATCATCCTTTTTTTCGTGGAAGAGAAAATGAGGTCACCTGAACAATGCCGGCAATAATTCAGATTTGATTTCACTTTTCTCATCCAGATACAGAGTGTTTTCTGTCCGCTGTTTGTCATTACAGATCAGTGTATAGTGAAGACATATGAGAAGGCATCTGGATGAGAACAACATTGTGCTGGAGGCTACTAGCAATGCACAGACCAAACTCAGGGCTCTCTCAAGCCACAGTGTTTACATTAAGGCACTCATCTGTGCTCTTCTGCCACTATGCACTTGTCCATTAGAACAGGCTCCAACTCACTGTAGGCAATTCTTCATGAGGATGAAGAACAGCAACATCTCCCAACAATACAAAGGAGAGGAGCTACCAGCAAGGCATTTGCTGTCCGTAAGTATCTTATTGTTGGCACAGAAAGATTACATTCCTGTCCTTAGAACACTGGCTGCTGAGAGGGGAAGAGGAAAAGGGTGATAGGATATGCTAGAAAAAATACAACTCAACCATTAGTGTTTCTCATGCCAGAGGAGGAGGGGCATATTTTATGTCTAAGGGATGGGGGGGTGGAAAAAAGCCAGTGCTGAAAAATTCTCCATAAATTGGCCTCCACCCACAGCACACATTCTGAGGCAGGTCACAGGATACTTAACTTGTGCTTTACCTTGTTAAGGTAAAAATACTTCAAGAAAAATAAGATCCCAAACTGACACATGGTAAGATGGTAGAAGTTCCCGTGCATGCAGGGCTTGGGAAGCTGCAGCTGGTTTTCAGCAAAGG